CCAGCCGCCAGCCTGCTCTTGAGGCTTTTGATGGCTTCCCTTAACTTCAGTCCATTTGCTAGTGGGAGGTCCGGCTGAACCCTGACAAAGCGCATTAACGCTTTGCGTTCCTCCGGGGTTCAGAGGACCACATGAAGTAGTCTGGGTCGCGGATTCGGCGTATCTATAGGGACGTTCCCCAATCGGGTTAGTTCCCTGATAACGACACCAGGGAAACCAGGTGGAAGCATCTTGTTGGCGCAGAGCTTGAACCACTGGAGGTCATCCAGCATGCGTTCCTTTGAAAGAGCTGCCGCGGATTCAGCAAGGTTACGAAAGATTACGCTACTATCAGTAAAAGAATCACCTCGACGAGGCGTATTCACTGCACGATTCTTCGACTCGACCCCAGTTTCGACCGGTTTGGCGGGTGACATCGCGCATTTCTTCGCCAAGGGAGCTGGAATAATTGAGGTTGAGGCTTTATGTTCTACTTCCAACTCCCTCCACGGTCTAGTCTTTTCAGACTTTGCGGGTGTGGCCGTAGTCGACACGGCGCGTTGCTTCGCCAATGGAACTGGGGCGATTAGAGTTGGAGCTTTGTGTTCCACCTCAAATACCTTAATGCTCTCAGTATCTTCGGGCTTTGAAGGAGCCTTATGGACTTTCTTAGCCCTCTTCCTCTTGCTTTTATTGGGCACAGGGACTATAAGTTCTGTCTCGCTTTGGGCGGCTTCCAGTACGATATCAGAGGCCTCTTTAGAGGCATTCTGGACCGCTGGGACACACGACACGGTAGCCATCACCTCAGCCGGATTTTCAACGACAGTAATTGAGGTTAGTTGCGTGTCTTCCTCCAATGAGCCGACATCAATAGACTCCCATATTCCTCAGCAGTAACTCTACTTTCCGATCAAGAGATGTGAGGAAAGACCACAACTGCTGGTTACCCAGCCCGACGTTGCTCGATGTCTCCTTATTGACCTCAAGACGCGTAGATCGACAGCGACCGCATAGAAGACAATTGAACAGCATGCTATCGCTAGTCGAAAGCATTGCGTACTGATCAGGGCTCAAATCGGTACAGGTCTGATGGTACCAGCAGTCGCAGACATAGCACTGCATGCCACCAGACTCGTCCGTCACGAGATTAAAGCATCTCCCGCTGCCGCATACAGCATTAGATTCTCAGATCAACGCAGTCGAAGACATATTAGCGCCGGTATTCAGTGAATACGACATGACGCTTTCAAAGTGTGTGAAACAAGAATCAAAACGTAAAACCGACAAGCTATTACCTGCAGGGTAGGTAACAGAAACAGATATGAGAAAAAACAAGATGTAAAACTGATTACAAAGCACAAAAATATCGGAAAAAGCCAGAGGCTGGAACCGAAAAAGATGGACTTTTGATAAGTACCCGAAAACGGGTACGACGTAATCCGGGGAAGTTCATGTTCAAGTGAGACTGGAACTATAGGGTGAATCCTCCATGAGCGGGTCGTCGATCCAGGAGTTCATAGGGGTGCTCCGACTTCTTGATGGGTCTAAAAGGAAAACATCCGAAAAAACACCCTGGTCCACCAATTTAATGCCCACGTTCCTTACATCAGCTGTCCCTACTATGTCAGTGACGTAAAGTAAGAGGAAGAAAAATCGAAGGTAAAGAGTAAGGGGAATCAATCAAAAGAAAAGAATAATACCAGTGGCGAGGAAAAGTAAAGAAAATAGTATCGAAGTATGAAGATGGGAATTAGTCATGAAAAAGGAAAGGTTTCGCGTTACCACGCAAGAGCGTTTAGTTGACGCTCAAACCCCTTAACCGTAGCTTCCTTGACAACATTTTCTGGAAGCAGGTTCCAGCGCTCGATGACTCGACGCGATAACCGTGTCTCCGCTCTAACTCGATCGGACCGCGGCTTGTCCAGCTTCATACAATGCCCGCGGAGACCAGATAATCTAGCAGGACTAAATAGCATGGACAAATCAGGGCCAACCTTCCCAGTCAAAATACGGTAGATTAGGATTAGGTCCCCTCTAATCCTTCGATATTGCATTGAACGCATCCACAAACTAAGTAGGCGTTCGGGGTACATTTGTCCTCGTAATTTCTTGACCAACCTAGTACCGACACGCAACCCCCTTTCTAGTGCCATTTTGTCCCAGACAAGTCATGATGGACAGGCCTGGACGCAATATTCTAGGTGGGGTCGCACAAACGCAGAGAAAAGCTTCACAAACACATCAGCGGTTAGGGTCCCAAAAGAACGATGGATAAACCACAACATTTGGAACCCTTTACTAGCCGCCTTCTTCCAGTTGTCTCCAGAGTGTAATGTGGAACAGTGGACGACACCTAGATCAACCTGATGAGTTACGTGATGAAGTTCACTCCCATCGAGCATATAAGCTGTGGAGGAAGCAGACGCTCCGATACGCTGCACTGAACACTTTGCCCGGTTTGGGGGCAGCAACCACAAGACAGACCATTCCCAGAGTATATCCAGAGCCCGTTGAAGAGCCACAGGACCTCCAGGGATATCAACAATATTCCAGAGCTTTAGGTCATCAGCAAATAAGAGCGATGGTACCTCAAGCTCCCTCAGCAAGTCATTCACGTAGACTGAGAAAAGCAGTGGACCTAGGACAGAGCTTTTAGGAACGCCGCTGAGTACAGCTTGTCGAAACGAAAGACTGCTTCCCACACGAATACACTGTTCCCGTCCATCTAGAAAAGCTGACACCCATTGGAG